CAAGCATTGACTGAGTATCTTAGAACATATCCCCCGAGGGTCAGCCGAGGTACTGTATTCTCGCCTATTCTCTTCTTTCCTATTTAAGATATTTTCCAAAGGATTGGGGGTAGGTGATAGAGAAGTATTTAAAGAACTTGGGAAACTGAACGGGGCAGTCTGGGGCGCATGTAAGCGTGTCCTAATCAGAGTCTAGTACTTGGAAAGAGGAACATCAGCCCAGTCTGTTTTAGAAAAATGACCCATTTACATGTATCTTACTCACGTCTGTTGTTGCTGCTGCCAACATTTTATCACAGGCTATCTGCCAAACAGTTCCTACAAGATCAGTTTTCAGTCCCTAAGGTTTGTTGGGAAAATGTACAGTTATATTTGCTGCTCCCAGAACAGATCAGTCAACTTCAGATTTTAAATCCTGCCATTAATTACTGATTTAGAACATGATTTTCTTGAGTAAACCTTGCAAGCTTAGCCGTGATGGTCCATGGGCCCCATGTTTACTAGGTAGACTTAACCGAGGATCCCTGTAAGTCATCTCTCATGTCATCTCGCAGGCCTGTGTTGTGCGGCTTTCTCTTACTGGTAGTCAGAGTTTTGCTGGAGCAGAAGTGAACAAGCTATCTTACGAGTGACTTTTGAAGGGTAAAATAGAGCATCACCAAGAGATTTATGTCAGCTGTTTGCTAAAGTACCAAAAAACACCTGCTGTTGCCCACCAAAGTCTAAAATCAGTAGTCAAATGATATTTAATTCCTCAAAGTTTTCTACACACAAAGACAGAAGAACTCCAAAACTCTTTCATCAGAAAATATTAAAGGTTTTAGCCAAAAGGAATTGAACGGCGCTCCTCATGCCAATGGTGTTAAGTCAGTGGAATAAACAGGCACACAGTGCATTAGTCTAAAGGGGAATGGTAATTTCAGTGTTGAAGATAAGTCTTTACCTAAGTACCAAATAGCACGAATGGCTTTGACCCCAAAGGTTTACTTATTTGCCACCTATAGCTCACATGCTACAAAATACAGGGGCATTCTCATGTGAGCTATGGGCAGCCAGAACACAGAAAAGGAGATAAAAACAGGCCCCAGTGACAGTTTTAAAAGAGCATAATCTGATTCTTCTTTAGTTAGAAGATAAGGATGAGAACTAGAAATAAAGGACATAAGGGGCTGGGGATTTAGCTCAGCGGCACAACGCCTGCCTGGTAAGCACAAGGTCCTGAGTTCAATTCCCGGTACTGGAAAAAAGACCAAAAAAAAAAAAAAAAAAAAAGGACATAAAATTAAAATGGAACCCAGTGCCTCCCTCCAATCTTTCTTTAAATTCCTGGTACACTTTTTCACCAGGTCTCAGCCTTTAAAGCTAAAAGCTGTTCATTTCCTTTCCTAGGAAGCCTGAAGAAGCGCTCTGTGTTGTTGAGCAGCGTCTCCGCGCAGCCCCTGAAGAGGAAACAAATGTCCTGATTCGAGGTGAAGGGAGACCCTGCATGCATAAGTTAATGTAAGTGGGCCTGTGTTCAACTTCAATTCAACAGCGTTTCATTCTCTCACTTGTACTTCTGCTTTAAAAAATATTTATTTCCACTCGAGCAACAAAAAGTGACAAAAGTCAGGTTTCAATGGGGTGAGATTTAAATAATCCATGGTTAAAGAGTTATAGAAGATTATAAGTTCTGGACTCTTGAGAGAACTGAGAACAGGCTATTTGATGGAACAAGAAGAGTGGAATTCACCCTAAAAGCTATAAGGTGAATCTTAAAATGCCTTTGTAGTAAAAGAGGTTTTGGGTGAGAAGTAGCAATAGCAGGTTGAGCAAAGCCAGAGTTCTGACAAATGTGTTCACTAAGGAGGAAGCACGAGTCTTAGCAGTTTCTGGGTTATAGTTTTGAACTTTCAGAATATTTGAAAAGCATGTGAATATAAATGTATTGAAAATTGCTGGGAATGTAGCTCAGTGGCACATTGCCTGCCTGGCAAGCAAGTACAAGGTCCTGAGTTCGATTCCTGGTACTTCCCCATAAAAAAGAAAAGAAAAAAAAGATAAGAAAGTGAGGCCAGAAAAATGAATAATATGAGAGTTTGGAAAAATACAAATTTCTTACTAGGAACATATTTGCTTGGATGAGTTATTTTATGTGAATACCTATACACACACACACACACACACACATACACACATATACACACAAGCTGCATTTCAGACATTTGGGTCTATGTATTAATTTTCTTAGATCATTGGGACTGTCATCAGGAAATTTTTTTTCTAATACAGATTTAATGGCCAGAGAGAATGAATACTTCACGGAAAATACTTAAGCAGAGTTCTGGTCAACTCAGAACAAAATGCTAAGCTAAACAACTGTATTTTTTATAGAAACAAGAAGTCCTGGAAGAAGATAACTGGGAAATGTTATAACCTAAGGTTAAAATTTGTTCCATATGCTGGTCTGAGCAGCTTCAAAGAAGAACTTATATAACTCCTTGTAAAACTGGACACTAAAACTGCAGACTTAGAGTCAATGGAATGCCAGAGCTTTGCAGATACAGAGAGGAACCCAAGAATTGTACTAATAGTGAGAGGACAGAAAGTTAAAAGTTTATCTAGACCCCTGTAAATTCATTACTATAGTCCTTTAGACAGGAACTAGCCAGTATTTCTGGAATAGTTTACTTTCATGGTTTGGACACTTATGAGGTTGATACTTATATCACCTGTCTGTCCCTAGTATACATACACTGGAGCCTAACCCAAATAGTAATTTTACTACTATTAGATTGCATTTAGCCATATTTCAAAGGAGTATCAGTGTATTTTAACGTTGGCCAACTTAGGTTTTATGGAATTCTGGTTTCTGAAGATACTAACAGTTTATCATGAATTGACTTATTTCGTGCTCAAATCAGTTGAGAAACCTCAAGGTAAAAATTATTAAACAGGACTCTTGTTACAATGCTTTTCAGAGGATTTATTAGGCATATGTAGACTTTGAACCTTTAAGGGATAGATACAGAATGCAGCATTTGCCCAACCTATTAGTCAGTGCTACTCTGGGATAATGCTGAGTAACAGCTGAACTATTTTATAGTTGAGTATATAGAAACCCATAAGAGTGCAATTTCTCCTTTTTAACTGTAATAATATCTAAATCTTTTAACCAAATATTTTCATGGACATGTTAACTTTACTGAAATTTCACTTCACTTAGGTGTTGTTAGTAAATGTTCTTTGACAGAAAATGGCAGTAAGTCACAAAGAATTTTTTTTAATTGCTTAATGCTTTTGATTATTATCTCGTGCTCTCTGACAATTACTTAAGTACTTGCTATATAAGACTGCAAAATTAAAATGAATTAGTTTCTGTTTTAGAAGACTATCCCTCTATCTTAATTTGTTTCTTCTTTTTTTAATTTGATTTTTTTTTTTTTGGTACCGGGAATCAAATTCAGGACATTGTGTTTGCCAGACACTGTGCCACTGAGCTACATCCTTATCACCTTTTTTTTTTAATTTGGAAAGATCTATTTGATTTGCACATAAGTTGGGACTTTGATAGAATGTATAGCACAGTTTGATTTGTATTATTAATTTTTTTTTTTTTTTGGTACCAGGAATCTAACTCAGGACCTTGCACTTGCCAGGCAGGCACTTATGCCACTGAGCTATATCCCCGGCCCTGAATTATTAACGTAAAAGTCTACACATAGTTAAAAATTTCTAAAAGATTTCTGATGATTACCAGGAAAGACAAATGAAATATTACTCAAACAGGTAATTTTTCAGTTTTTATATCTCATTCCTACACATTTTCAAGTGAGAAATAAATTTAACTGTGTTACTATCAAATTGGCAAAATCTTTCCTATAGTTTTCCCTTTTCTACTTGGGTCAATTTTATTTTACTAAACTTTCTTGAAATTTCAAACACTAAAAAAAGCCTTTTGAAAGTCAGATCTGACATGTCAAGAAGGAAATCCCAGAGACCTTCTCTGGCTTACATTGAATCCTCAATGGGGACATTTTTCAAGTCTCTTGCCACATATGAAAAAATAAATAAATGTCTTGTTTATTCTAATTAAAGCTGTATTCACAAATATAGTCCATAGTCAGTGCTGTATCAGGTTATATGAATATATGGTTTAAAAGCCACATTTGGCCAAATGGAACCTTTACATCACATTATAATGAATTTTTTTAAAAAGAAATGAATGTTTAATTTTGACTAACAGTCATTAATACCCACTGAATTGGGTAAATATTCTTGGATCAAGGGAAGAAAAGAATCACCACAATTTCACATATTTATAGAGCTATAGTCTTAAATTTTTCCTTAGTAGAGTAAAAAATCAGTAGTTTTCAGCTACTTAAAGGGTTTCTACTTGAAAGAGTTCTACTCTTTAAAGAGTAGCTACTTTAGTTTCTTAACTCTCTGAAAGAAAAACAGATTGTTCGAGTCTACACAAGATAATTGTCAAAATAAAACCAGATACCTACTTGATATCTAGGAGGCAGGAAAGAACCTTGACGCTGCCCTTTGCAGGTAACCTCAAGCATAAATTATTGTAATAGAGATCATCAGGGTGGCAGTAGCCAGGTGTTACTTTACTGGGCAGTGATCTAACCTTCAGACAACCATCACACTTTAAACACCTGCTTAGCTGTGTTTCCATCAGCTTATGATGGGTCATCTTGGTTTACGTTGGTATCTGAGAAGAAATTCTCTTAAGTCAGAGAGGTTTTGAACAACAAAATTATTGACCTTAGCTACCGGTGAATGAACCCAATAATTATACATAACCATTGCCTCCTCTTCTGTTTTTTATAACTCATTAGTAGTGACCGGTGAAAAAAGTCACACAGCAGTTAAACTGGGTTATTTTCATTAAAACCACCTACCTTGCACTTTACAGGGACATCTAGTGGCACACCACCTTCAGGAGAAACCAAGGGCTGTGTTACAGTAAATTGGTCCAGTGTGGTATTACAAGTATAAAAAATATTCCATTCTGTATCAAAACTAGGCACATGCCTTTATTTATAGTAACAGAAGTTAACAGAGTTGAGTAGTTTTGCCTTGGGTCTTGTCTCTTGGCATCCTACGTTAGACATACATATCTCTCAACACACCGCTGCCCATTCCTCCAGGGATCTAGTCTCAAGCCGATCTGTAGGTAAAGGAAGGTGAAATCACACTTGGATCTATAGTGGTGAGTAACTAAAAGCACAACCTCTCATTCATATTGCTTTAAAACATATACAGCATATACGTTAAAAAAAGAAAAGTAAAGAATATATTGATCTCTTTTTGGTGCCGAACCAACAGTATGGTATGATGCAAGGCTTTAACAAAGGATAATCATAGATACAAAATTTTCTGTAGAGTATGTTTTAGACAAATGTGTCTTTAATATGTAAATCCTACACTGTAGGTTGTTCTTATTCTTTCTTTTGTTTTTGCAGTGGTAGAAAATGCGGAATATTGTCCATGAGCGTGAGCCAAAGGTTCAGGTTCATTACTGAGATCCCCAGAATGCCAGTATTTGCAAAGCAAACTATTAGTAACCCACTGTGTGAAGGGCTCTGACACATGCCTGCCTGCCTCTAGCTGGAGCATCTCCACAAGAAGTCCTCCTGCTTCCACGGCCCTGCTTTGACACAGGGGCAGCTGCGTGAAGCTGCCGCTCAGCCTAGTGATTTCTTGTGCCAGACTCTTACTGACTACCAACAATGACACGGAGACAGTGGTGACAGCGCAGACCCTCAAATCATTTTCATGTTGAACCTTCTGGGTCCAGCCCCCTCCCCTTCCACAGCAGCACCATTGTTTTTCCGGGGCACATATTCAAGGTCGATGCTGTTTTTGTGCTTGCCCTTCCCTCTGCTCCACACGAAAAGGAGGAGAAAACAAAATAAAACCACTCCCAGGAATGTGAAACAGCCCATGGCTGTAGATACCAGTATTGTTTTAAGGTCCAGGGAAAAAGTGTTAGCATTGGTGCCATTGGAAATGGTGTCATTGGAGTCGGTCATGTACATAGGGGTCCTATTTGCGTAAAGGAAGCGGTCTGAAGTGAATCCTTTCACGGTTAAGGAGGCTGTGAAGGTGTCATTCCCAGCAGCATTGCTAGCGATACAGACGTACATCCCACTGTCTTGATCCTGGGCAAAACGGATTTCTAAGGTGCCGTCACCCAACACGGTGGCTCTCCCGTTGGACTTGGTGGTGATAAAACGCCGTCTAGGTGTCACCCAGGAAATCACAGGCTGTGGGTCTCCGTCAGCACTGCATTCTAGCTGGACTGTCTGCCCTTCGTCCACAAGCAGATGCTGCAACTTCTTGTCACGGATTTTGGGTTTTTTACAGGTGAAGTAAAAAGAAAGGGCAGTGCTATGAAAATCCTTGAATGACCTCTCGCGGATGGTGTCCGGGCCAGCACACATGGGCTGCTGGCCACCAAACTGCAGGGTGGGCTGTCTCTGCAGGATCCAGAGGAGACGGCAGTCACAGGCCAGTGGGTTGTTATTGATGCTCAGGACCTCCAGAGCTCGAGGGTAGGAGAAGACGTTCTCTTCCAGAGTTTCCAGAAGGTTCTGAGACACGTTGAGCACACGCAGAAAGCGGAGCCCTTGGAACGAGTGCGGCTCGATGGTGCGGAGCTGGGCCCCCACGACGTGAAGCTCTTGAAGGCGGATCAGGTCGGAGAACATGCCCGCCTCAATAGTGCTGATGGGATTGTAGGAGAGGTTAAGGTGGGTCAGGTACACCAGGTGTTTAAAGGCCAGGAAGGGTACCGTAGACAGGTTAGTGTTAGTGACCGACAGGGATGTGAGGTTGAGACCGTAGAGGCTATTGGCAGGCATCATATCCAGTAAAGGCCAGTAATCAATCTCTAGGTGTTTCAGGTGGAATAATCTTTTAAAGGCATACACGGGCATAGTGTTGATATTAAGATGCTTGAGGTGCAGGCTGATGAGGCTGCGGAGGTGGGAAAGGGCTTCTGTGGGTACTGCTGTTAAATTGCATTTCTCCAGGGTGAGCCGTTCCAAGCTAAGTAGCCCACTGAAGGCCCTGTGTGATATGTAAACCAAATCGTTGTCTCCCACTTCGAGAGACTTCAGGTTATGCAGGTCCTGGAACATGTAGTCCAGTAAAATGACAATCTTATTCTCACTAATGTCCAGCCTGGTAAGGTTGGACAGCCCCGTGAACACTCCTAAAGGGACCAGCTTCAGGCGATTGCCCTTCAGGCGGAGGGAACGCAGGTTAAAGAGGTTGTTAAATGCTCCTGGTTCCACATTGGCGATGATATTGTCACTCAAGTCTATCTCTTCCAGCAGAGGGTAGGAGATAAATTCCTCAGGGTTGATGCTTTTCAACCTGTTTTTGCTGAGGTCCAGGATCTTGGTCTCGATGGGAATGCCCTCCGGGATGGCAATCAAGCGCCTTCGGTGGCAGCTCACAGATTTGTTCTGGGCAGAACACTCACAGCGGGCAGGGCAGCCAGTGGTGGATCCCATGAAGACCAACAGCACAGCCAGACCCAGGAATGGCTGCCAGCATGACACGGCCGTGTGAAGCATGACTCCACTTCTTCGTCTACACCTCGGTCACGGGCCTGCACAGGTGTGGCAAAGAAGGAAGAGAAGTGAGAGTTAGGGGACAGATGCACACAGGGGCATAACTCAGGCAGCAAGTACAATGGAGAAGATGCTGGATCAGGAATCAATCACACCTGGGATTATGCCTGAAGGTTTCCATTACCTACATGATTTTGGACAAGTTATTTCACCGTTCTGCATTGTGGAGTTCTTAGCTGTAAAATAAGGACAATGAAGGCAATAATTGTAACATCTTCCTAGAGCTCTCATGACAAATTCAGGGTTTGACAACTATAAAGAGGCAAATTAAGGGTGTGACATACAGTCTGAGGCAAAATGGCACACATTTGATGCACAAAAGCCTCTGTGGTTTCAATTCAAATGAGAGAAACAGAGGTCAGCGGCTAAGAGGAATCCAGTTCTGTGTGAGTGAGTGTCTGTACTGTATCTCTGGCAGATTGCCCTCTTTTCAAAATGAAGCGAAGAGAAGTTTCATTCAAGATCAGGCCCTTGAGTGCAAGAGTTACGCCCAGTGCAAAATGTTGAGATTTTCTTGGTACACATATCCTAGTAAAAAAGAACTTTCACTTCTGAAGTAAACCTTTGCCAGGTTCCAGTGAATTTTGATTTGTGAAGGTATTTTCTCATTCGTGACAAACAAAGGGTTGGCTGCCTTGTCTCTGTGTTTCTTACAGGGATGGGGCAGAGTAATGGGGCCGTGAAGGCGGAGGTAAGTGTGCTTCCTCTATGAGCCTGAGTTAAATATTCAGTAATGACAAGAGTTGGAATTTAAAGGCAAAAAACTTTGAATAGCAATGTATGGATTGTCATTCTTTCACATTCAAATCAACTGGATCTATTAAAGTGAAATTAAGTAGGTATAAATAAGTTTGGAAATAAGTGTGTCTGCCATGTTTAAAGCAGATACTGGATTTACCGTTGAAATGCATTGCAAAAGGTGTCACTGAAGTGTTTCCCAGCACTCTCTAGGATTATATTCATTAACACCATGTTTTATGAAAGCTTACATAGTTTGAAACAATATTTTAAAAATTTGGTACATTTTAACATTCACTCCTGAACTGTAAAAGAAAAACTATTAATTTTATCAATTATAGTGTTTACACATATGAGGTGTGATAAAAATATAGCAAATAGTTTCTAAACAAAAAAAATTTACTATAGTAAAAGATATTGCTATCAATCTTCATCACTGCATTTGCTGGCCCCACCACAGACCTGTGTCTGAATCTGTGGCTATATCTATATCTAAAGAAAGTTATGCATAAAAATAGCAAGTACAGTCAAACTGAATGATGAGTCACTAGGCCCCTAGAAAAGGACCACCCCAAACTGGAGAAACAAGACAAAGATTCAGGAAGGGTTAGTCAAATCAATTAGGAATACAAGTTATAAGAGTTATAATTGAAAAATATGTGGTAAAGCTATCATTATTTATAGGTCAGATTAATCTATAAAATCCAACTGAAAAACCTATTAGAACAAATAGAACAAGTTGGCATGTTAAAAGTATAATTTACTTATACATAAAAGGCACATATAAAAGTTTGCAAATTTTCAGTCAACAGCATTTCTGAAATATATCAAATTTTATAGAATGAATTTAAGAAATACACAGCCCTAATGTGACAGCTACTAAATTCTACTGAGGCACCAAAGTACAATTAACTAGAGGGATATACTATAGATTGATTAAATATTATAATAATATTGTCAATAAAAGCACATAACAAAGAATAAAACTTAAACTTGAAAAATTATTTCTAAAGTTGAAATAATTGAACTGATACACGGATGTTTGAGAGACAATTTTAAATTTCATTTTGATTTTTCAGTAGAGTTTAATGTTTGTCACATTCTGTGTATTTCTTGTTAAGTTTATTCTGGTTTGTAATATAGGAAAACTGGAAGTGCGTAATAGTAAGAGCTCAGTTATGTAAATTATGATATAGTGATACCATAAAATGCCATGTGGGCAATGCACCATAGAATTATATTTGGAAAAATGTACACATGAGAATAAGCACAAATATTTAAAAAATGATAAAATGCTTTACTATATATTTAAATATGAGATGAAAAATATAAAACTATTATATTGACACAAAAATATATAGGTACCAAAAAGTTAAATATAACACCTAGATATTTTTGAAAAGTTTGTTATGTTAAAATGGTAAGGAAAATATAAATAATTGGCTAGATGTTTAGTCATAAAAGCTGCCCTTTACATCCTCCCTTTCCTGTAAAATAAATTCTCAATGAATTAAGAATTGAAACACACAAAGAAAAAGTACTAGAAAAAAATTCAACATTTTATAATATTAGAGCTGAGAAGCATTTTTTATAAATAAAGCTAGAAACCAAGAAGAAAAATAATCATTTCTGTTGTATTTAAAAATATTGTTATAACAATATTTAAAAATATTGTTATAACAGACAAACATCACACACATAAACACATAATCAATTGCTGGAGAACATTTTAAAATCATGTAACAGATGATGGATTAAACACAGTAATAAACAGCTGTTATATTAAAAGAAATAGAATGTATACAATAAAAACTAGAAATAGCTAATAAATGTATCACTAGTAAGCAGATAACAGCAAATTACTCAATAGAGGTTTACGACTTTTGCCTGTCAGATTGAGAAATCTCAATTATTTTTAGCCCAAATTAAGGTAGAAATACATTCACCTGGTGACATAAGAAATGTAAACAGGAAAACTTTTCAGGAGGTTCAAACACAACAATGAGGAGGTGGATTGATAGGCTTAATTTAAATATATCGATTTTAATACGTTCAGCCATTAGAGCACAGTTTCAACTTCTAGAAGTGAATCATTAAGAAATAATTGAACCAATGAACTCATATGTTTGCTACTGATTTGTCTACAGTGGAAGAAAACTGAAAAACTGCAACAGGAAACTTAGTTATGTAAATTATGCTCTAGACATAAAATAAAACACAATGTCACCAATATACTATAAAATTTACATGAGATGAAATTGTTATATATACTCTCATTTTTGTGTATGAATGTACATAAAAATATGCATAAAATTGTGTTACAGGGTAGCAATATACTTAGTATTTATAAGAAGCAAATCTTTGCCCAAAGTGATGGCATCATTCAGCCTTCCAGCTAGGAAGGATGAGTGTGTTAGGGCTCTCCAAACCCTCAGCATGGATATTGTCAGTCTTTTACACTAGCCAGTCTGGTGAGTCTGTATTATCCTGACAACTAACGAAGCAAACATCCTTTTCTGTTATTATTGTTCATTTGCACAGATTTTTTTTGGTAACTCTGATGGTTAGTATTTTGTTTTTTATTGGTTTATATTTTATTATGGAGATGTCAAATTATGCACATATTCTAAATATCAAATCTTTATTATATATTTATTATGAATATTTTCTGCTAAGTTTTGGGTTACCTTTTCATCGACCCCTTTGTTTTCAGTAATGGGGATTGAATCCACAGTCTTCATATTGAATTACATCCAGCCTTTTTTTTTTTTTTTTTTTTTCTGAGATAAAGTCTGGCTAAGTTGCTCAGGTTGGGCTTGAACTCGCCATTCTCCTGACTCAGTCTTCCAGAGTGCTGGGATTACAGGTGTGCACCATCACATGAGGGTGTCCTTTCAATTTATTATTGGTGAGGTTTAAAGACCAGAGGTTTTAAAACCTGATTAAGTCCACTTTAATATTTTTCCTTTTTATAATTTATACTTTATCTGTTCCATCCAAGATCTTGGCCTATGCTAATGTAGTAAATATTTTTCTGTATGTGTTGTAGAAATTTTATAATTTTATCACTTATATTTAGGTCTGTGGTCCTATGACAGTTAAGCTGTACTGTCAACTTGATCGGCTTGGGGGCAGCCTAGGGGATTAATGAAGCACACGCTGGGTAGGTCACAGATGCATGCCTTTCAGCACTGTGCCTTGTCCTGGATCCCTTCCTGTTGGCTCTGTTCCTCAGTGGATCTGTATTAGATCCATTTTGAATAAATTTTTGTGTATGATATGAGGCAGACAGAAATTTGTTCTCCTTGACAACTAGTTTTGAAAAAGACTCTTGTCTCTCTATTGCATTACCCTGGGACATTTGTCTAAAGTCAGTTGACCAGTTACATGTATGCATATGACTATTTGTGGATTCTATTTGGCTCCATCAATTTATGCATTTATCCTTTTACCAAAAACAAAACTATTTTGGTTACTGTAGCTATTTATAATAAGTTTAAGAAATTAGATGTTAATCCTCTGGCTTTTATCTTGTTTTCACAGAATTTTTGGCTCTTATAGTTCATTTAAACTTCCATATATATTTCAGTATCAGCTTGTTATTTTCTGAAATAAAATCTACTGAGATTCTAATAATAATTGTGCTGATAATGTAGGAAGACAGGTGGAAAATTGGTAGTGAAATAACACTGAGTTTTCCAATCTGTAAAGGTGATATTCTGTTCATTTATTTAGATCTTCTTTAATTTTCTTTAGCAAATGTTCTTTCATTCATATACTTTTACTTTTTCCAATGTTTATACTTTTCTGTATCTTTTTGTATTTGATAATACCACCAATGCAATGTGGAATAGAAGTTCTGAGCGTTGTCTTCTTTACTTAGTTCCTACACTCAGAGGAAAAACAGTTTTGTGTAAAATTATTTCTTTCTAAAATACTTGATGGCCAGGGATATAGCTCAGTGGCACAAGCGCCTACCTGGCAAGCGCAAGGTCCTGAGTTTGATTCCCAGTACCAAACAAACCAACAAAAAATAAAATAAAATACTTAATGGAAATTACCACTGTAACCAAGAGCTCAGATTTTCATCATGAGGATGTTTTGAAGTACAAATTCCTTTCCTTAACAGATATCAGCATATTTAAATTTTCTATTTCCTTTTACGTCAGTTTTGGTAAATTGTGTTCAAGTGATTTTTCTGTTTCATCTAAGCCAGTGCTGGCCAACCTATGACACACAT